GATAGGAAAGCATTCTGAACCAAAATAGGAATTAGTAAAAAATGCGTACCAGATCTTCGCAAATGCTCCTAAACCATGATTTTTTATTTTCATAAGATTGGCAATCCATTCATGTCCTTTATTACAGCAAAATAATAAAGGCGATCTATTATTAATATATTCTTCTGAGAGACATTCACCATTTTTGCTACATGCCAATTCTTTAGCAACTGAAATATCAAGCCTGGTATCAGAGCAAGTCAAACACCATGTCTTGCCATTTTTTATACTGTGAAAGTTAGTAGTTTATTTATGTCCTTTTGCATATTTCCATCTTAATGGAGTATTACAATTAATATAATTATTAGAAAGGCATTGGCCACCTCGACTTTCAGCAATTTTGCATGCATCATATATTGAATATTTGATCTGGAATAGCATCAAGAATCGAAATATTTTAAATAAAAAATTAGAACTTTAAATATGTGTGCAACAGAACTTGCTCAACATTATAAACTCTTATGGGGAATTCGAGAGAAAATGCACCAAATTAACAATGTATAGACTATGTCCACAAAGCAATTCATATATTTATTTATTTGATTTATTCTATTTATTCGATTTATTAATTATATAACTTATTCATATATATATTTATTTAAAATAAAACAACCTAAAGTATTCCCGAAGGCTAGTACTTTAGACTTTATTTCATTATCCCTGAGGGCTGGTAACATTTTTTACTTTGATTTTTTATCAATGTATATTCCATATTTTTTACATGCAAACTTTTTGCATGCAAACTAATAATCAATATTTCATTCTGATTACAACCCCATTATAGCGAAACTTCCAAAAAGTCTGGTCAAGAGAGTATACCACAGGCTTTTACACCACTCTAGATCCCCCATCACATCAGAGCAAATTTCTGAAAAATATGATTGAATTGAGAATTATTTGTATCATACATTAGAGGTATATGAAAAAGGATTAAATAGAAAGTGTAAAAAACAAATCCAAATTATAGATCCATTTGAGAATTTATCATATAATTATAATAACAAAGCTAGTGTTAAGACATATATAGACATGATTAACCAAGAATCCCAAACCCAAGATACTATTCCGATTTGTTTATATAATCAGACACATAGGTGTCCTTGCTTCGCATGTGAGGATGAGATTAATTACTGGGTTAAGAAAGAGGTCAATGTTTTATTTCAGCGATTATTAGAATACAACGAAAAAACTTTTGATAAATTTATGCAAGAAATTACTATAGAGCATGAAAAGCAGGTTAATGAAAATAAAAAATTACGATATGAGGTTGAAGAAAAGAAGATAAAATTGCAAGAGGCAGAAAAATTCCTAAAATATCTGAAATCACATAAGATTTAAGGGTGTATCCCAACCCAATCTAAT